CATTTGACTCACACAGCCTCAGTCACTTACTCACCTCGTCCACTGTGCGTGTGCCTCTCTGTGACATAAGCTAAACATCTAGCTGGCTAGCTCATCATGTCTCAGTCTAAACTGTACACTCAAAAATAAAGAAAGGAGTGGGAATCAAACCCTGAATTCAAAGGCTGGTTGAAGCCGTTTATTGGCGATGATACACGGGCATACTGCCTGTATTGTAAGGCTGATTTCTACGCCAAACTTAGTGATGTAAAAAACACATGAAAACTCAAAAACATACTCAAAAGGCAAAGCCTTATAACAGTTCCACCCAAAACAAGCTGCCATTTATGGTTAAAAAAATTGACTCTGCAAAAAAAGCTGAGGCCCCCATGGCATTAGCTATCGCTGAACACTGGTCCATGCTGGCATGTGATCACATTGGAGAAGCATGTAGACCTGCTTTCTCAGACACCACTGCTGCTACCCACTTCAAAGTGCACAGAAATGATTAATGGTGTTCTAGCACCATACTTTCTGAAAAAGTTGGTCACAGATGTGGGTGACAAGCGTTTCAGCCTCCTCCTCAATGAGTCCACGGATGTAAGTGTTTCTAAGTACCTGGGGGTTGTGATAAGGTACTTTAGTGACACCAAGCTGACAATTGTATCAACATTTCTGGGGCTTGTTGAGTTGGAAGGAAGAGATGCCAAATCTATAATAAATAATAATAATATGTCATTTAGCAGACGCTTTTATCCATAATGTGTGCATACATATTTTACGTATGGGTGGTCCCGGGGATCGAACCCATTACCCTGGCGTTACAAGCGCCATGCTCTACCAATTGAGCTACAGAGGCCTTGCTGTTGTGGCTTTCCTCGAGAAGTGTTGTCTTAAAAAATAGAAACTCCTGGGGATATGGACTGACAATGCCTCTTTTATGACGGGGATTAATAATGGGGTCCATAAAGTGCTGAAGGAGGAGTATGGCCTCAAAGATCGGGTTCTTATTCGCTGTGTGTGCCACTCTCTGCAGCTTGCTGTAAGTCATGCTTCCAATGACACCATCCCCCTGTAGTGTGGAGTACTTGGTACGAGAGACTTATAGCTGGTTTTCAGTGTCTCCAAAGCGCAGGGAGGCCTATAAGGCCATATATGAGACCATCAACTGTGGGGAGTAACCTTTACTGATAACCAAGGTGTGTGCCACACATTGGCTCTCCATTGAACCCGCGGTTTCACGCATTTTGGACCAGTGGGAGGAGCTTAGGCTGCATTTCGCAGTCACCAAGTCCAGTGAACACTGCTACATGGCTGAGGTTTTATACTCCATGTACAGTGATCCTCAAAACATACAGTGGGGGAAAAAAGTATTTAGTCAGCCACCAATTGTGCAAGTTCTCCCACTTAAAAAGATGAGAGAGGCCTGTAATTTTCATCATAGGTACACATCAACTATGACAGACAAAATGAGAAAAAAAAATCCAGAAAATCACATTGTAGGATTTTTAATGAATTTATTTGCAAATTATGGTGGAAAATAAGTATTTGGTCACCTTCAAACAAGCACGATTTCTGGCTCTCACAGACCTGTAACCATCAAGGCTTTTGAGGGAGAGCAAGTAGATCCTCTTAAGCTACTTGACAGCTTGGTTAGCCTGATCAAGACTGTGAGCAGAGGGTGATGAATCCACTGGCAAATGTTGATGTACTCAAAGGGTCAATAGATGGATACATCAGTCCCAAACCGTACCTTGGTTACCTTTTTGAGTCAAAGGAAGCTGAGCTCCACCTTGCGCCTGAGGATGAAAACAATGTCCGAAAGCGGTGTGTAGACTTCACCATCTCCCTCACTAATGAGTTGAGGGTGAGACTGCCGGACAACATTGAAGCATTGCAGTACGTGTCAGTTTTCAATGTTGAGGAAACTCTAAAGCACAATAAGAGCCCTGGAGAAATAGAAAAATAGCCAAGCTCCTTGGCTACTCCCCTGCAGAGATAGACAAGATTGTCCAGCAATGGCGTGCCATCCATCTTAGTAAATGGAATGAGACAAAACACACACTGGGCTTCTGGAGTGAGATTTGGAAGTTCAGGGATGCAGCTGATATCAACCCGTTTCAAGAACTTGCCATGGCTGCTGTGTCTGTGTTGTCCTTGCCACACTCGAATGCTGAAGTCGAGAGAGTATTCAGCCAGATGAGTGTGGTAAAAAGCAAACTTAGAAATCGGATGTCCTTGCAGACCCTTAACTCCATCCTGTACATTCTATATGGACTCAAGCTGTCTTGTGAGGCTTGCTATGAGCACCAGCTGCCTGATAATGTTTTGCAGCTTTTTGCCACATCAGCTGCTTACTCATTTAAGTCAACTCCCTCAGTTGCTGAACCTGCCATAGAGAGCCTTGACCAAAATGATGATGACCCACTCTTTCTGTGAACCAGCACAGCCTGTGTGTGTGTGTGGAGGGGTGTCTGAAAAAACAACAACGAACCTGAATTAGGGCCAGACTAGTTACCATCATTTTCTCACATTGCCATTGACAGTTTTTTCTATTGTCTCTTTTTGGTCCATTTAGATTGTTAATGCAGATTGTTTACACTTTTTTTTATTTTTTATGTTATGGTTAAAAATGTTCATGTTTTACTGTGACTTGTTGTAGGCTCCTAAATGGACCATAAGATTAAAAACCAAACCAAACTTAAGAAAACTAAACTAAAAATGTTTTTTAAATTAAAATAAAATAAAAAATAAGTAACTCCGCCAGTGTCTCTCTTGGGTCACTTTTGCAGGTCCCAAGCCCGGATAAAGGAGGAGGGTTGGAATTGTGACATAAAAAAAAACCAAGAATCGACAGAAGAAAGTTCATTTGTAGTTCTAAACATATTTAGGGTGTTTTTTACTCACTTTGTCTCTCCCACGACATTATTCCTCTCTCCTACAGCATCCATCACAATTACATGCACATGGCACATAATGCAAATTAGGCAATGACGTCATTTAGCGACTTCTAGCGACTTTTCGGACAGCCAATAGCTACTTTCCTTATTGAGGAGTTGGCAACACTGCGCAAGACTCAAAGCAACAGTCTGTCAAACCTGGAGGATTTACAAACTGTTTTTCAACTTGAGGTAAGCAAGCAAAGCATTTGAATGTATGTTAGTCCAGAATAATATTTTGTCAATATGAAGAAATATGTTATTGACATCTTGTTTTAGCACTACCAACATTTTATATTGAAGACTCTGCTTAGCTAGCTAACAACTGCCATTAACTATCTTAGCTAATTAGCTAGCAAGTAGGCCTCCAGTTTAAAAATAACTCAAAATGCAGGTTGTTTCAGTTGACTATATAGTCCATGGCGATCAGAGAGAGGGGAAGGGATCATGTCAAATGTTTCAACTTCAATGATATCTCAGCCCCATCAACACCTTTATCTTAAGAGGTCTCATCTTTATTATGCAGTGTTATTAAATATAGACAGTACATGTTATGTAAAATATATCCCCAACATAAATTATAGAGAAATGTCTGGAGCATTTATAGATTTTTTTGTGTTGTCTTATTGATCAGGGATGTCAACTACACATGCTGCAGAGTAGATTGGATTTATTTCGATTTGATGAGGTAATTTATGACTATGTATGTATCTAAAACAAATTAAACATGAGGTTTGATAGTTATTGTGTAATGAACGCAGCCCATTTTTCTTTTGTCAGGATACGAGGATTCGAGACAGCATGTCAGCAAATAGCAAAGTCAGAACACTGCATTGCAAAAAAGAACATACACATTTCTTCCCATGAGAACAGACATAGTGCTTAACTGATTCATTCTATTTTCACACTGGATAAAGTCCTATCTGGTGTCAAACATTAAGCCCTCATGGACGGTAGGGCTTTCTGCTTAAGGTGAGCTATTTATAATTGAAGTACAAGAAAATAGCAGGATAGATGTGATTTTGTTATTGATGTTACTGTATTTATTACATGATAGCTAATGCATTTTTTATTTCCTGTTATCATTTCATAATGAAGCTTTGTATGTTTGTTCTTTAGCATCATGATGAATAGACAGTGATTTACTTTTGTAGTTTGTCTGCAGATTTGACATCAAAACAATAAAGATGGGGTCCTACCTCGCCACCAATATTGAGCCGTACCCCACAGCAAGCCTGAAGGTGAGCTATTTTATACTCTGTGATACAGTGGTGCTGGTGAACTGTGGTGGAACTGTTCTCCATGTTTTACTGCAATGTTATACATTAGTGTATATACAGCAAACTCAATGGTGTTTATTTTTCCTACAGAGAACCCCAGGTTTACTTGGAGGGGAAACCTCAGACTCCTTAACAGATGGGGTCCTCTGTCAGGGTGTGAAGAGCTCATCCAAGAAGACCAGGTCCTTGTGTTGTCCCCCACTGGCATCATGGAAACAAAGACCTTTTGGGAATTGGAACTAGATCTACAGGTACACATTGGCACTTCTGTGAACTTTGTGACAACAAGACTGCCCACCAGCATGCAAACATGGTGTTCCTCAGGAACTTACATTCTCATGAAGAGTAGTATCACTGTAGTATCAATCTGTACATTTTGCTTCCTATCATGACCATCTATTTCTATGAATCTGTACATTTTGCGATTGCCCATCTATTCTATCTGCACATTTACATAATGAGAAATAATCCCATACTTAAATGTACTATTGTATTTCACTGTTCTTAAGTCCTTACTCTAGCACATCAGAGGTATGCTGCAAGTGTTGAAGTTCTGTAAATAAATATATTTAACAGTTTTAAACAGTTTTTTTGTCAAGTTTGTGCTAGGAATGAGTAAGTGATTGCCAAATCACTACAAGACAAACATGGAATCAATAAGTAAACACCTAAACCATATAAATACTATTTATAGTGCCTTGAAACATCTCATTCATTCTAAGATTGTCTTAAGACGTCTTGAGACCGTCTATAGACGCACCTTAAACATGTCTTGACTTTTTAAGACATGTCTTAAGACGTCTCAGGACATGGTGATGGCTGGGTATGTAGTGATAATCTCTTTCTGGACAGAGTCAAGCTGTAAATGAGGACAGGTCAGTAACGGAGGCGCCCCGTTGTTGGCCCTGAAGCCGAGCCGTTGATCTGTCTGATTGAAACCCCTCCCTAAAGGACAGCGGTGCCACCCAGCCCCCACACCCCGGCCGGGCCAGATCAGAATAGTCTCCCATTGATTTCCAGCACCGGAGAGGAGCAGCTAATCAATCTCCCTCACTTCAGCACTAAGAGCATGGGTCTGCAGAGTGGACAGTCAGGCTATTTAAAGACTAAAACATCAAGATACTAATACATAACCCTGCCCCGCACTCCGGGAAGCCAGGAGTAAGAACATCCGATGGTAGCTGATACATCACGCAGTAACATTGACAAGTCTTTTGTATGCTTCCTGAGGTACCTCCTCTATAGGACTCTTTATGTGGGGACTGGCTACAAGCTTCAGTGGGAGAGGGAAGCTTTGTCCGACTCTCAACCAGTAATCCAGTAATAGGCGGACAATTTTCAACCCCCTCCTCCCCTTATCAAAAATTAGTCTCAGAGCTTTAAATCAAATGAGGCACTGTTACAGTACTGTGTGATAAGATGCCTGGACTGATTAGCAATGCCAGCGCAATCCATCGGCTATGTGTACATGGTGAAGATATAGGACAAAAGACAGAGTGGATTATCAAGTAGAGGCGCTCAGACACAGGGTGGGAGAGGGTTATGTAGAGGTTTTGCTGTGTGAATGTGCTCACCATGAAGGATCGTACCACCACGTCAGGCATCTGGGGGAGTTGGTAGTGCAGCAGAGCAGTGGTGGCGTGATCCGTAACCTTAGAGAGAAAACAGGGCTTGTAAAAACACATGAACATTTGAGAACATTCCAATTGTCTCTGCTTTTAATTCAAGATGGTTTCACGAGCAAGTAAGTATTACATAACATAATCAATACAAGCGATCAAGTAAAACAACATGTTTTCAAAGACAGAGTACTTATTACTCAACTTTTAACATAAGTAAAATAGGTCTGCTAGACTGGTGCAGGGTTGTCATTGGAGCAATACTAATCATAGCGTATACTGTATCAATCTCTCCATCAAATATTCATCCCACATGCAATTATTACGTAACTTTGATAAAGTAAGTTATTCTGTCGATGTAGCTAGTATAGTTTTATTCTGTGTCCAGTCAATATGTGCATTGCTATTACATTTTTACCATCTGGCGAAGCATGAGGGATACGGCTATTACCAGCACCTGGCAGGCATACAGTACACTACATGCACAGGGAAAACATATCAAAACAGGTGGGCGAAAAAGTATTCTCCTCAAAGATGATGTAAGGATATGACTGGGTGGTTAACAAAGATAGGCTTTGGTGACAAGTCAGACCTTGGCAGTGCAGTGACAGATGGGAGGGGAAGCTGAGGTGTGCTGCCATTCTCTCTCTCTCTCCCTCTCTCTCACTCTCACTCTCACTCACTCTCACTCTCACTCAGGGTCTGTTTGACTTAGCATTAGGATGAGATCAAGAAATAAACATACTGTGCTTTGATCAGCCAGGGGGCACAAGTGAGAATTCACTATGAAAAGAAAATTGGGTGCTCTCTTTCTATTAATGCTGGCTCCATCCCAGTCACTGGTGTGTGTGTGTGTGTGGCTTTCTGGCTGCCCATATGCTGCCATGGCGATGACGCCGCCTGATTTGGTGAGGGAGGATGAGAGGGAAGTGAGGACGACTCATAACCCCCATATGTTCGCCAGAAAGGACTGTTGCAAAGTGGTTTTAGTTTTAAATGAAATCCGACCGGAAACAGAGTACATTTTGCTATGACAGGGCTTGATTAGTGGGAGAGAAGAACACACAGCAACAGGTGGCCAAACGGGAGACACACAGAGGGTTCCACAATACGGAGACCTATATGACTACTCATGAGTTCCTCAGGTTGGGCATTGCATCCACGTCTGGGGTAAACATGGAGATAGGGTCTCACCTTTTGAAATACCTGATAGTTTGACTTCGACCAGATATCCAGCTGAGGAGAGAAAATGATAATTATTATCATATCTATGTAATTAATCGTACATTTTCAAACCCACACACATTATTTTCTTCAGTTGTATGCGATACAAATCACAGCAAAAGTGTTCATTTGGAGCATTTAGAACAATGGGATTGGAGTACACGTGTAGTCGTCATCAAGACTGACTACACCCCTCAAACTCAACTCTGGACTTCGAAGCCATTTCCACTGCATTTTTTCAATGTTCCCCTCTAATCAGGGACTGATTTAGACCTGGGACACCAGGTGTGTGCAATTAATTATCAGGTAGAAAAGAAAACTAGCACACTCTGGACCTCATAGGGTAAAAGTTGAATACCCCTGGACTACACCATCAACTTTCATTTAAGTCTATTATCTTTGTAATACCACTCACTAGCATTGTATTGATAATTTGATCAGGTCTATATTTTAAGTTCAAATGACTCCTCTCTTCTTGCTCCCCTGTTGTCCTGTGGCTTGCATCGTCCTTCAGTAAACCGGGAGAGAAGGGCAGGAGATTGTGCGAAGGTCGTCTGAACAGTTTCAAAGACAATAACAAATCAAAACACTACCCTGAATCTAATATCAAACAGGCCCGGTGTCAGCATTTATTAGAGAAATCGGATTCAATCCCCCTCTGTCCCTTTACCCACTACCGACACACAGAGACCCTTTGAAGGGAAACTAATACAGGATCGCAAATTACCCAAGAGATGCCTTCGATAGTCTTTGAAGCCCTCCTTTGATAGTGCAGTGTTCCTTTTCTTTTCCCCACTCTCTCTCTCTCTCTCTCTCTCTCTGTATGCTAGAAGGCTCAGCTTGCTGCTCCTGCCGCTTCTTACCGTATGATAATTAGTGGAGAAAATGGCAGAAATGGGGCTGTTGGAGCCTGAGGGGTGGGGATGGGAGACATCCTAAACAAAACCCTGGCTGCTGCTGTTGTGTCTGTCTAACTCATCCTAGGTGGAGCTTTGGGAATGTCTGGACTTCAAAACATTTTCCATGGAGCACATTATCTCTATAAAGTACCCTGAGTAGTTGTGGCAGTTACATATATGTGAGAGCTCGATTTGAAACACTAAATGTGTGCATGCACACGCGCGCACACACACAGTTGAGTACATCAGACAGCATTGTTCTGGCAGGAGGTCTACCATTCATTGGCATAATTAATGGTGATCAAGGTTCTCTGTGGCTTTGATGGCCTCCTAATATTGATGTCAGTTCAAAGAGTCCCCACACTCTGGCTGAGTGAGGGCGAAACACCAACACAGAGCCATGTTCCAAATTAATTAGGGATTAATGTTGAATCTGACTGAGTGGAAATTGTAGAGGAAAGCCAATGTCACCCATCCTTTACAAGCTTTTCATGTGAGAGTGCGAGAGAGGAAGCGGTCACGTAAATTATTCAGCGGTCCAACAGAAAACTGACAATGAGGAATGGAGGTCCAGACCCTGGATTGCATGGTCTTACGTTAGCAGCTGGAGACCATCAGCCCTCTAACAACATTGTTGTATAGAAGGCTATATGAGGTCATTTTGAATACATAGCCCAGAGGGACCCTTCATGGTAGCCAGGACAGTCTCAAGAAGACTGAAGTAGAGGTCTTCACAGGTCCAAGCAGTTCCTAAATCCAGACTTTAGTCTCGGATCTGGGTCGAGTCTGACACACTACATGACCAAAAGTATGTGGATCTCGACAAACTATTTCTGTATAGACCTCACTTTGTGCACAGGGGCAATTGTTATGCTGAAACAGGAAAGGGCCTTCCCCAAACTGTTGCCACAAAGTTGGAAGCACAGAATCGTCTAGAATGTCATTGTATGCTGTAGCGTTAAGATTTCCCTTCACTGGGACTAAGGGGCCTAGTCAGACTGCCAGATGGTGAAGCATGATTCATCACGCCAGAGAACGCGTTTCCACTGCTCCAAAGTGCGCGTGGTGATCTTAGGCTTGTGTGCAGCTGCTCGGCCATGGAAGCTCATTTCATGAAGCTCCCCACGAACAGTTCTTGTGCTGACGTTGCTTCCAGAGGCAATTTGGAACTCGGTAGTGAGTGTTGCAACCGAGGACAGACGGTTTTTACGCGCTACGCGCTTCAGCATTCGGCGGTCCCGTTCTGTGAGCTTGTGTAGCCTACCAATTCGCAGCTGAGCCGTTGTTGCCCCTAGATGTTTCCACTTCACAATAACAGCACTTACAGTTGACCGGGGCAGCTCTAGCAGGGCAGAAATTTGACGAATTGGCTTCTTGGAAAGGTGGCATCTTATGACGGTGCCACGTTGAAAGTCACTGAGCTCTTCAGTAAGGCCATTCTACTGCCAATGTTTGTCTATAGAGATTGCATGGATGTGTGCTCGATTTTATACACCTGTCAGCAACGGGTGTGGCTGAAATAGCCAAATCCACTAATTTGAAGGGATGTCCACATACTTTTGTATATATAGTGTCAGGCCACAGGTCTCGGGTATGTGCAATTAAAATTGATTTACTGACTGGACCCGCCCTCTGTTAATTTAATGTGAGGTGATGAGAACTGTGTGAGCTTGTTATCTGTTTCAGCCAATAGCAACTCAATAAAACGTATAGCTTATGTCCAGCTGAAACTGGTTCCGGCCACTCACCTCACGCGCGTCTGCTGCTGAGGGTGGAGAGAGAGAGTGAAAGGAGCTTTGGCCTAGGCTACTGTTGATTGCGAAGATGGAGGACATTTTTATTGAAGTAAAACAAAAGTTAGAGGAGGAAGAGTATAGTGAAAAGAAGCCAACAAGGGGAATCTCTCCCGTCAGTGGACAAAGATGAGAAGAACGTTGGCGCGGCCAAATGGACTGTATGCAACTCGCTATTCAGGTTTGATGCAATTTTCTAACTTATATTTATTATCATTTGTTTTCTCATTATTATTATTATTATTATTATTATTATTATTGTAGGCCTATTTAAGAATCTAAGCCAGTTATTTAAATATGCAAAAAGTGTTTTCATTTGTCATTTTGTTGAGACATTTTTGTTGGCTAAATTAAGTTTGAACAGTTTTTAAAAAAATTGAGTTTAAGATTAAAAGTAAGCCTGTTGTAAAATAAATATATTTAGCCTATTGCAGTCATTTGTTGGGTAGGCCTGCGGTAAGAACTCACCTTAGTTGGTAATTGCTGCAATATAAGCCTGTTAACTTTTGTGAAGGTTTAAACCAGTTCTTTAAATATGCAAAAAAAAAATGTTTCATTCTGTTGAGGCATTTTTTTTGGCCAAATTGAGTTCCAACTGTAATGTTGTGTTTGCCGGTAGGCCTACTATAGGGCTACTCGCACTCAAACCATGAAAAGGAGGGCGAAATGCAAAACTTTATTTAATGCCGCAATATAATAACCTGTTCGTATTTTCCCTATAAACAATGACGACTTACTTTTGATATTACCCTAATAAAATGAAGAACCTTTTGTAAAGGTTTGGTGTGGTATGGCTATTATTAGGCCTAGCTGACTCCGACAGTTGAACTTGAGGTGAGGAAGGATGTTTTAGGCCTACCAGAGTTACTCCTTTAATCTAACAATATAATGTTTATCTTTCAAAAAAATATTCTGATCGAAAAATATAAAAAGTATAAATTAGCTTTCTATAGGCCTATCTGTATAGCAGTGGTAGCCTATCAGACAAGGATAAAGAATGTCGGGAACATGGCGCCGGCATATCTCTTTCTTTCTCTCGGTCTCTCTAGGGCTAGGCCCAAGCTTCTCTTCCTTTATATATATATAAAAAAAAATGTAAAGTGTATATCATACAGTGGACGCCTAGGCCTATATGCATGCAATGTCCTGATGCATTTAGCGCTAAAATCTCCGACAGCTGAACCATGAGGTGGACAATTATTGTTTTAAGAAAGAAAAAAACATAAAACAATAGGCTATAAAGTTTTGAATATGCTACACATCTAAACACAACAAATATTTTTTGTATAATTTGTTATAGGCCGTTTTTAAGGACACGTAACTGTGGATCATTTGGCCAATATCGCTTGTTTATTGATGACACTAGCATGTTTTTCTCTTTTTCTACTCTCGGAACTAAACAGGTCTCTCTGATCCGAACCGGCACGGGTCTGTTTTTCCACAGGCCTTTTTTGGAACGGGTCTGACTGTCCTCGGGTCTATTCGGAAAGGGTCTCTGTTTTAAAAAGAAAATGAATTTCTGCATTTTAATTTTTTTACATTTTAGTAATTAAGCAGACGCTCTTATTCAGAGCAACTTAAAGCGGCAATTAGCGTTAAGTGCCCTTGCTCAAGGGCACATCGACAGATTTTTCACCCAGTCGGCTCCGGGATGCATATTGGGTCGGGTGGGAAAGCCACGGATCCATTTCGGAATGGATCAACATTTTTGGGACCCGTGAAGACCTCTAGACTGAAGTCCTCGTGGAAGTGTACAGATAATATGCCTAGTATGACATCTCTTGACCTGAGTGTAAAAGTAATACCTTATGTAAAGTAATACGTAATGTAAACTAATACCTTATGTAAAGTAATACCTTATGTAAAGTAATACGTAATGTAAACTAATACATTATGTAAAGTAATACCTTATGTAAAGTAATACGTAATGTAAACGAATACCTTATGTAAAGTAATACCTTACGTAAAGTAATACCTTATGTGTATTTTTGCAATGGAGAGAGGGTCGCACCTCACCATCTCATGCAGTACTTCTTAATCCAGCTGTTTGGGCACAAACCTCCCTTTTAACCCTGAACACAATACCTTGCCATCCTCGGAATACACATTTTCGTTGAATCCTCTCACGATGGTCCGGTCTATGAACAGGCTTCTCATCACCACGATGGCTTTCAACACCTTCCCCAACGTCACCTAAAGGAAGAGACAGCAGAGATGAAAAGACAATGACAAATGAAGCCCTGTTCAGTCCTCTTCTAACCAACCGCCATGCCAAAGAAATGTGCTTAGCCTTCTCTCCCCCCTTGAGTCGAAGGTTAACCTACAACCTACAGTGCTCTCCACTGGATGGCCCAATAGGCTTGTTGTACTCAACCTTTCCAGTGAATTAACCTTGGAAAAGAGCAGATACCTCTTTTCATCCGACACATGCTTGACAAACAGAATTACTGAGTTGCAAAGTCTGCCCTGTTAGATATTGACCTTGATCTTTCAAGGCTGAGCAAAGCTTACAAAGGGCTTTGACTTGAGGTCTTAGGCTATCTCTGTGTAAGAGCGGGGAGATAAGAAAAAGACAGCAGAAATTGACCTCTTTAGGTACCAGAGAGAGAGAGAGGGAGAGAGAGAGAGGGAGATAGAGAGAGAGGGAGGGAGAGAGAGGGAGAGAGAGAGATGGAAAGAGAGAGAGGGAGAGAGCGATGGAGAGAGCGAGCGATGGAAAGAGAGAGAGGGAGAGAGCGATGGAGAGAGCGAGAGAGAGCGAGAGAGAGAGCGAGAGAGAGAGAGCGAGAGAGAGAGAGCGAGCGAGCGAGAGAGAGAGAGAGAGAGAGCGAGCGAGCGAGAGCGAGCGAGAGAGAGAGACAGATAGAGAGAGCGAGAGAGAGAGACAGAGAGAGAGCGAGCGAGCGATGGAGAGAGAGCGAGAGAGAGAAAGGGGAAGAGGGGGAGCATGATAAGATAAAAAAAACGTGCTTTATTTGTTAAACCTGTTCCAACAACAGCAGCGTACCCAGAACAAAACAGCGGTGCTTATCGCCTGCTCTACCCAATCGGAATTATTCATCCAAGGCAGCGCTCCGGCTCAGTTGGCAAATGGGAGGGAAGACCGTCCCAGACTGACAAGGAAAGCACAGTATTTGGGAGGGCTTTTCATGACTCCACTCAAACATGAGAAAGAGGGGGTGACTGAGAAACCCCTTCGTTTTAAACAACACAGGTGGATTCAATGGCAGACTTAGCAGAATGACTTTGCATGAACTGAGCAACAACAACTTAGAGAGACAAGAAAGAAGTGGCAAAATAGGTCGCAGGTTACAAAATACACTAAATAGGCCTACACATTTTGAAATTCATTTTTCAATAAAATAAAGACCTAAATAATCGGTGGCAGGCTTTTTTTAACGTATGTTACTAGCTATTTGCCTCGATATTAGGCTATATCTACAAATAACCTATTTTCATAAATATACTATAGTGTTCACAACTCTAAATGATCTTCATCAGGCTTGGAGTCTGTTGAAAGCTTGTATGGTGGCTAGGCCTAAATGGTAACATGTTAATTACACAGTAATAGGCTAACCAATGAATTACTTACAGTTTCTTTGGTACAATTTAGTACCAGTTATAGTAGTTACCAATTGTGTTGAATTCTAACCTATCCATTTGTTGCCACATCATTTCCTGTTAATATCGTACAAACATTGTGGAAACAGTAGTGCTCCCAAGACATCGGCAATGGCCATTTCAGATGGCTCATTAAATCATTTCTTATTAAATAGCTGACCAGTTAGATGTTTTTCTAGCACTAAGTCCAATGGAAACTGATCAGAGTTTCAGTTCATAGAGGATTAGTAAGCTCTAAGCTATGGGAGAAAATGGTCATCTTACTAAGTGGTTGGTCCCTGAATTTGTGCAGTGAGGAAAATCCCCCAGCATTGTCGAACACTTCAAAAGCATTTGACTTGATGGATTGTTCTGCACACCAAAACAAGAAACAAAAGGACACTTTTTAAGTCCGGTGACAGAGAATCTAACGACCCTCCATGCATAAATGAATAAATCCCTTATAAGAAAATATCACCATTGAAAATGATTTGTTTCCCCACAGAAGACAGCCTGTTAGATGGCCTAAGAGGATCCTGTAAAAGGCTTGTCACTTCCACAGCTCTTGTAAGCCTGCTAATTGGAGAGGTGATAGGCAAACACATTTCAAGGAGCGCCTGAACCCATCGAGTGCACTTACAGTGTAGAAAGGAGAGAAACGTACTCCTGTTAAGTGTGTTAGCACAGACTAGTAAAAGATAGTGATGGTTACAAAACAGTACAAGGCTAACTAAATAATCCAAGATGGCGTAGCAGTGCGGTCGTGTACTCTAGTGTGTCCGTGTAAATAGCCTTTTTTTTTTTGTTGTTGTCTTTTTCGTATATATTTTCACTATCACACTTTTCATCCTTCTACTAAATATACTTTCCTGCAACCCGCCTCACTCAATGTGGAACGGATTCTATTATTTACTTACCTTTTATCTAGAATCACCAGTTGAAACTAGCTAGCCAGCTAACTAGCTACTTGCTATTAGCCATCGTTAGCAGTTTTCACCCAGAACATCGGATTTTCTGCCGGAATAACTGAATCACTGGACATTTAACACCGGATCATCGCAACTAGCTAGTTGCAACCGAATGGATGTTGTTGTTGGCTAATCACCACTGCCCCCGAAGCAAGCACCAGTTAGCCTTGAGCTAGCCTCGAGTCAGGCCCATCTCCCGGCTATCTACCTCTCTGTCAACCGGACGGGACCTCCTAGTGTCGACACAGAGCCTGCCGATCCATCACGACTGGTCTGCCGACGTAATCGTCTGTGGTTTCAACAGGCTTCCCGTTGCGACGACCACGAAGATCCATCTGCTAGCCCAGGCCCGCTAGCACACGCAATCAATCAGCCATGCTTCCTTCTCGCCTGTGGTGTAGCACCAATTCAACTGCTCTCGGACTCACATATTGATGTTCACTGGACCTTATGATCACTCAGCTGCACAGCTGATGCCTGCTGGACTGTTCCTTTACATGGTACCCTGTCCTGTTTATCTGTTTAGCCTCAGCCCAAACTTTCATCGCCATTACCAGTTGTTGTCTTAGCTCTCTCGAATAACACCTGTGATTGCTTTATGCCTCTCTCCCATGTCAATATGCCTTGCCTGTTGCTGCAATTGGTGCCTCCAGTGATGCTATCTCTTTCATTGTTACCCAACGCTTAGGTTTACCTCCACTGTACTCATATCCTTGTCTGTACATAATGCCCTGAATCTATTCTACAACGCCCGGAAATCTGCCCCTTTTATTCTCTGTACCCAACGCACTAGAAGACCAGTTCTTAAAGCCTTTAGCCGTATCCTTATTCTAGTCCTCCTCTGTTCCTCTGGTGATGTAGAGGTTAACCCAGGCCGTGCAGCCCCCAGTATCACTCCTACTCCCCAGGCGCTATCATTTGTTGACTTCTGTAACCGTAAAAGCCTTGGTTTTTTGCATGTTAACATCAGAAGCCTCCTCCCTAAGTTTGAGTTATTCACTGCGTTAGCACATTCCGCCAACCCTGATGTTCTAGCAGTGTCTGAATCATGGCTTAGGAAGGCCACCAAAAATTCAGAAATGTTTCCATCCCCAACTACAACATTTTCCATCTAGATAGAACTGCCAAAGGTGGTGGAGTTGCAATCTACTGTAGAGAGCCTGCAGAGCTCTATCATACTATCCAGGTCTGTGCCCAAACAGTTTGAGCTCCTACTTCTAAAAATCCACCTTTCCAGAAATAAGTCTCTCACTGTTGCTGCTTGCTACAGACCCCCCTCAGCCCCCAGCTGCGCCCTGGACACCACATGTGAATTGATTGCGCCCCATCTATCCTCAGAGTTTGTACTGCTTGGTGACCTAAACTGGGATATGCTTAACACCCCGGCCATCCTACAATCCAAACTAGATGCCCTCAATCTCACACAAATCATCAAGGAACCTACCAGGTACAACCCTAAATCCGTAAACATGGGCACCCTCATAGATATCATCCTGACTAACTTACCCTCTAAATACACCTCCGCTGTCTTCAACCAGGATCTCAGCGATCACTGCCTTATTGCCTGCGTCCGTAACGGGTCCGCGGTCAAACGATTTATTGCCTTACCTCCATAACTTGCTACATTTGCACACACTGTATATATATTTTCTGTTGTATTTTTTGTATATGTAACTATGTGTTGTTGTTTTTATCGCACTGCTTTGCTTTATCTTGGCCAGGTCGCAGTTGTAAATGAGAACTTGTTCTCAACTGGCTTACCTGGTTAAATAAAGGTTAAATAAAAATAAAAAATAAATAAAAATAACTAGGTAAAGCGACTCTTATTCATGCAGTATGATGAAAGGAGGAAAGTCTTGCTGCATGGCCAGCCAAAGTAGGATATCCCTTCTAGTCAGGTTAAACTGTGGATCAACCCAGAACCACTACTGAGAGAAGTACACACACACGTCTCTCAAAAAGTCCTTCAGAGAGATGACACACCAAAATACATTTTGAAACACTTGAATATTGCAGACATTGACGGCCCCTTTAAGTTCAACAGAGGAGCATGGATTAGAAAATCATCTGACGTGATTAAACATGTCTAGAAAATTCAGGAACATCCATTCATATTTCATGAGGGTGCCTCAGCAACACACATTTCCCCTTCCTCTCCGGTGGCCCGCTCGCTCCTCGCCAAGACAGGTGCTCAAAGGGAGAATACATTACTGACGACATGCCTTTTATAAAGGCAGGGCACTGGCTCTCTGCTCTGCTCTACCCTGGCCAGGCCCTGGACCTGAGGCTCGAGTCCACATTGACCGACTGACTGAGTACTGACTGACTAAAGCACACTGGATGGGCTACCATCTCCCATGCCTGAGAGTCACCAACCTCACTTTAGCTACAACAAATCAATCCTCCATTTTAGTAGCCTTTTCAGTAGTTTTAGTAGCCTTTTCAGTATTTATCAATTATTCTGCAAAAAGTTTGTAATTGACAACAACAAATCAATCATCATTACAGGGACGGTTCACACCGAATCAAAGTTTTGTCAGATGTTCTTGTACCTCACAAGTCAATGTGGAGCCGAGAAAAACATTTTACTTCGTCAACACTTCAATTAACTGGCTCTGTACTACGGACCGTGGGAGTACAGACTGATGTGGTGCAGCTAAAACAAAAATCGTTCCCATTGTCCGGTTTATGAGCGAATCAAGTTTCTAATCGTAAACAGATAAAATTACAGTTGACTAGAGGATGAAGAACCTGGCATGTAGATTGTAACGGTACTGTAAACAATTGGATTCCTCTAGGTTTTCTTTTCCAAGGTGAATTGACATCAACTATATTTAAATAAAGTGCTACTTACTTATTATATTAATGTAATAAAGAAATATTTCATTTGAGACCTGCAGAAGGAATATAACGGTTTCAATAGAACAGATGGCAGAGAATGTAGACCTGGCTCCACTTTAGACAACTTGTTGCAGCAATTGTCATACCTAAAAGCCTCAGTTGATACATTTGGGGGAGCAGATTGTGAATCACCTTTCACATAGTGCCTTGTTCTACTCCTAGATGCTTTGTCTCTCTGTGGAGGTCCAAACAGAGAGGGTGTGTGGAGCTCTAAAATACTACCTAGCCTACATGAACGTGGCGCTAAAATACAGACCATCTGCTAAAGGCTGTGTCTACCCAATGAAAATGGGACAGACAAAAGCCTAGCAGTGCGCTCACACACAGACGCACGTACGCTTATTTGAGCAATTGATCTGGGTCTCCTTCCCGAACAAATGTTGACAGATTATGTCGGACATATTCCCAACCACAATGGTCAGCACAAGCATAGAGTCTGAGACTTCTCTCTACACCGAGGTACTCTCCACTGAATACTTTCCTGAATGTTTCAAACGTCTTTGAAATGACTGACAAACTACTATTAAATATTTTACAAATGAGACTACCTACCTAGGCAGCTATACTTCATAAGTTTACAAAGTGCTATCCTAATGCCCAGACTAAAAGTATGACCCAGTGGGAAGAACAGAGCTCCACCTTGGACCCAGATGAGCTGGCCTAGTGTGGTTAATTAGGAAAAGGGAAAGTGCATTTCTGTCCGTGGCTGCAGCATAGGCTCACAGATGGTGGGCCGTTTTATTTAACGAGAGAGTGGGCAGCCGATCGCACACTGTAGACAGCAGAGCACACAACAAATTGGAGACGCAATTTTAAAAAAGTAACCGTTTCCAAGCAACAAGTGGGTCTGGATGAGACTGACGTCCTCCATGGTCCTGAGAGTAAAAAAAGAAAGCTGACAAGCTGAGATGGAGAACAAAACAAGATAGTGAGAGAAAGAGGGAAGTCAGCCTTGCAATAAAAGGCTCTGCTGTTTTCACATACTATAGCCTATCCGCAGCAAACATGTCAAAGACACGTAGAGGCTCATAATTCAACATCCCAAACTATTAGCCCACTGATATGTCACCACAAGGAATGATATCAAGTTTAATGATTTTGTGTGGCTCTGGGCAACACATGGTAGAAAAAACAACAATAACCTTTCCTCTTGACAGTTAATAATTTGTTCTGAAGAAAAAGTCCATTAAATCCAACGATGCCGCTGTGTGACACTAGGGGGAGTGAATTGTTGACATTGAATCTCTGTTTCTTCTTTGAACTGGTAAAAAAAAAACAGAAGTGTGAGAGGGATCACTGACTTATTTAATCACCAAAACAGGACTTATTTGCCAACCTGGCTGCCAGTCAGTCAGCTACCTGATCCTGCTTGTTGAGGGCTTGCTGAGGCTGGTTATATATTTTGATGACGACAATGTTTGTTGGTCTCCCTGTCCTGACCTCAGCGCCTGGTTCTCTCCTCCTCAGAATTAAGCCAGTCAGAGGATATCCGGTCAATATTCCACACATGGAGCGCTGCCTGCCCGCCCCGCTCCCCTTACATATCGCCCTTGGCCCAGGTGTTCAGTTCCACTCCTGCTGTAGCGACCTTGATGTGGGATTTTGTAATTTTTAATTTAGATCGATACCCCAACAAGGTCACTTTAAAATTCAATTAATGAGCCCCATGTACAGCACGCCCTGCTCCTCTCAAATGTATCAAAAGAAGCAACAACAAACAACTAGGAGCATCAAACGTGACTATCAAGATGCAGTATTCATACCCCTGAGTCAATACAGGTTAGAATCACCTTTGGTAGCGATTACAGCTGTGAGTCTTTCTGGGTGAGTCTAAAGAGATTTGCACCTCGATTGTTGGTTGTTGATCATTACTAGACAGCCATTTTCAAGTCTTGCCATTGATTTTCAAGCCAATTTAAGTCAAAACTGTAACTAGGCCACTCAGGACCATTCAATGCCATCTTGCTAAGCAACTCTAGTGTATATTTGGCCTTGTGTTTTACTTTATTGTCCTGCTGAAAGGTGAATTTGTCTCCCAGTGTCTGTCGGAAAGCAGACTGAATCAGGTTTCCCTCTAGGATTTTGCATGTGCTTAGCTCTATTCCGTTTCTTTTTATCCCAAAAAACTCCCTAGTCCTTGCCGATGACAAGCATACTCATAACATGATGCAGCCATCACCATGCTTGAAAATATGAAGTGGTACTCAGTGATGTGTTGTGTTGGTTTTGCCCCAATCATAATGCTTTGTATTCAAGACAAATGTAATTTCTTTGCCACGTTTTTTGCAGTTTTACTTTATTGTCTTATTGCAAACATGTTTTGGAATACCATTCAAAAAATCCGAGTCCGTGATGCAAAAATATTATAATTAATTGAATACATGCTCGAAAGAATACAAAAAGTGAAAGTGCAAGGTGCTAAATAAAATGAAAAGGGAACGGAGCATACGTTTCGGCCTTATGCCTTCACCAGTGCTGTACAAACAAATTAAGAAGAGAAGTCCCCACTCTAAGTCCATGCAACTTATTATGTGACTTGTTAAGCACATTTTCACTCCTGAACTTATTTAGGCTTGTCATAAAAAAAATTTAGTCGAGAAGTGGCAAATTCATTTTTTTAATGATGGTACATTAGACACCTGTCTGATTCACACCTGTCTGAGTGGATTAATCCAATGGGATGGTACACCAGTATCACCAGTAACACATTTACCGTAAATTCCCATCATTTGTAATTTACTATGTTTGTTTGGTTACGGTAATTATGTTAATGCAATATATTATTGTTACAGTTTTACCGTTGTCATTATAGGAGTGGACACGTTGTTTGCAGAGCGCACAACCTAGGCTACAAAAAGTTCTCTCTCCATTCCATTTACGAGTTGTCAATTTATTAATTGTCTTTTGTTTGGAGCGCTCCTGTCAATCTTGAGTAAGGACACACACTTTATTACGCATATACAGTGAGGGAAAAAAGTATTTGATCCCCTGCTGATTTTGTACGTTTGACCACTGACAAAGACATGATCAGTCTATAATTTGAATGGTAGGTTTATTTGAACAGTGAGAGACAGAATAACAACAACAAAATCTAGAAAAACGCATGTCAAAAATGTTATAAATTGATTTGCATTTTAATGAGGGAAATAAGTATTTGACCCCTCTGCAAAACATGACTTAGTACTTGGTGGCAAAACCCTTGTTGGCAATCACAGAGGTCAGACGTTTCTTGTAGTTGGCCACCAGCTTTGCACACATCTCAGGAGGGATTTTGTCCGACTCCTCTTTGCAGATCTTCTCCAAGTCATTAAGGTTTCGAGGCTGACGTTTGGCAACTCGAACGTTCAGCTCCCTCCACAGATTTTCTATGGGATTAAGGTCTGGAGACTGGCTAGGCCACTCCAGGACCTTAATGTGCTTCTTCTTGAGCCACCCCTTTGTTGCCTTGGCCGTGTGTTTTGGGTCATTGTCATGCTGGAATACCCATCCACGACCCATTTTCAATGCCCTGGCTGAGGGAAGGAGGTTCTCACCCAAGATTTGACAGTACATGGCCCCGTCCATCGTCCCTTTGATGCGGTGAAGTTGTCCTGTCCCCTTAGCAGAAAAACACCCCCAAAGCATAATGTTTCCACCTCCATGTTTGACGGTGGGGATGGTGTTCTTGGGGTCATAGGTACCATTCCTCCTCCTCCAAACACGGCGAGTTGAGTTGATCCCAAAGAGCTCGATTTTGGTCTCATCTGACCACAACACTTTCACCCAGTTCTCCTCTGAATCATTCAGATGTTCATTGGCAAACTTCAGGCGGCCCTGTATATGTGGTCCTCTGTAGCTCAGCTGGTAGAGCACGGCGCTTGTAATGCCAAGGTAGTGGGTTCGATCCCCGGGACCACCCATACACAAAAATGTATGCACGCATGACTGTAAGTCGCTTTGGATAAAAGCGTCTGCTAAATGGCATATTATTATATGTGCTTTCTTGAGCAGGGGGACCTTGCGGGCGCTGCAGGATTTCAGTCCTTCATGGTGTAGTGTGTTACCAATTGTTTTCTTGGTGACTATGGTCCCAGCTGCCTTGAGATCATTGACAAGATCCTCCCGTGTAGTTCTGGGCTGATTCCTCACCGTTCTCATGATCATTGCAACTCCACGAGGTGAGATCTTGCATGGAGCCCCAGGCCGAGGGAGATTGACAGTTATTTTGTGTTTCTTCCATTTGCGAATAATCGCACCAACTGTTGTCACCTTCTCACCAAGCTGCTTGGCGATGGTCTTGTAGCTCATTCCAGCCTTGTGTAGGTCTACAATCTTGTCCCTGACATCCTTGGAGAGCTCTTTGGCCTTGGTGGAGAGTTTGGAATCTGATTGATTGATTGCTTATGTGGACAGCTGTCTTTTATACAGGTAACAAACTGAGCTTAGGAGCACTCCCTTTAAGAGTGTGCTCCTAATCTCAGCTCATTACCTGTATAAAAGACACCTGGGAGCCAGAAATCTTTCTGATTGAGAGGGGGTCAAATACTTATTTCCCTCATTAAAATGCAAATCAATTTATAAAAATTTTGACATGCGTTTTTCTGGATTTTGTTGTTGTTATTCTGTCTCTCACTGTTCCAATAAACCTACTATTAAAATTATAGACTGATCATTTCTTTGTCAGTGGGCATACGTACAAAATCAGCAGGGGATCAAATACTTTTTCCCCCTCACTGTAGAAGTAGTACTAGTCTACCTGGCCTGCGTGCAAATGTAGGCCTATAAATGTGCCCATTTGGGGATCTGATACTATTTCTGATTGTCTTAACCCACCATTACTGTGGAGGTTCTCAAAGTAATTTTTTCTTTGCCTCAAACAGCAAATAAACAAAGTCTGTTTTTACATCCATTGATCCTCAATGTAATCTTTCCAGCTCTCTCGCTTTCGATTACCACAGCATGAAAGGGGGAAAAAATGTCATGCTCTGATCCGGTGGAAACGTCATATAGGCCTACATAAAATAGGCCTACCTGATTACTTCTTATCCATTGCGCAAATAGCCTACAGCTGTGTCTGTCTGTCCGGAGCTCACTGGCACAGGAAACTCTAAGGGCCCAGAATATTTTATACAACGTTGCAAGTTTGCTAGCACGAGCTTTGCGCCAGACCAAGTTAATACAATGTTTCAAGTTCCTTGCAGATAGGCCATGCGTAGCCAGTGTGATTTATAGGATATTTATTTTAAAATCAGGATATTTTCTACCTGCAGGATGCAATGTTTTTATCTGTTGGCTTTATGTAGGGCCTACATAAAGCCAACAATTAAAAACATTGCAGCCCGCAAGTAGAAAATATTGGCAACGGCAACAAAAGTTACTTTTAGATTTGTATAATTTCCCTTACGAAAAAAGATTGCAGTCAGAGTGCAGTAAAACTGCAGTATGCTGCAACCAAAGGGAGTTTTTTTTTATGCAGTAATTTTTCAGTGTAACTGCCGTTAGAGTGCAGTATAACTGCAGTACACTGCAGTTATTCTGCAATTACTGCATCCAAAATACCAGTCTACTGCAGTTTCAAAACTGTAATAGGGTTTCATTTAGATATAATTTTGATTAACCACATGACATCGATTTTGAGATATAAAGACTTTATTATAAATTAAATTAAACTGTTCCACGAAAATGTGTATATGAAAATCATTACTGGCACGCAGATCAGTAGAAATGGTACGATAACTTGGCACTCCAAATGGAAAACGTTGCCGACCGATGGTGTAGCCAATTACCGGCAACTTCTGGAGCTTAACGGCAGAATCTGTGAAGGCCAGCAGCAGCGGGAGTAGGGAACTGTTTTTTTTTTTCTGGTTAGGCTATATTGATCTCTGGCACCCTCTTTAGTAATTTTTGTTTCTTCATTTTTCATCGCATTGCTGAAAGCATCAGACAAGCTCAGCAGCCTACATATAGTTGATTTTATTCAAACACACGTTTTAAAATATCGACCAATCGATTGGTCGAAAGAACAGATGACTCTCGGTCGACTAAGATTTTTTTTTAGTTGGGGACAGCCCTATTTTGTGTAGGTCAGTGTCAGGAAATCTCAATTTAATACATTTCTAATTCAGGCTGTAACAAAATGTGGAAAAAGTCAAGGGGTGTGAATACTTTCTGAAGGCACTGTAACTAAGATGTTCGGTGTAGTATTTTTCAAGTGAAAAAAATTCCATAAACACGAGTCATCTATCGTTGAATGACAACACTTCATTGAAGAATCCCTACTGTTGACCAATTACCGACGAAGGGGCGTAGACTTCGGCTACCGAAATTAATCTTGCCTTGAGAAAATATGTTATGTGCACGAACAGCCGAAAAAGCCCTTGCCCGATACCAAAACGAACAAAAATGTCACAAAATGTCGTCATAATATATGCACGAACTGTTCCGAACGGTTTCGAATGGGAAGCCTGTGGACGCCTTTAACCTTTGCCTGCCACTGGAGGGGATTACACGCGCTGGTCCTTTCCTCTGACCTAAATAAAAATAAATAAATAAATTGGTCATTTAGCAGACACTCTTATCCAGAGCGACTTACAGGAGCAATTAGGGTTAAGTGCCTTGCTCAAGGGCACATCGACAGATTTTTCACCTAGTCGGCTTGGGGATTAGAACCAGCGACCTTTCGGTTACTGGTACAACGCTCTTAACCACTAAGCTACCTGCCGCCCGACCTCAATTAACCGCCCCAATTAACGCTGCAGTCCCTCTCGCTGCTGACGCCGTTTACAAACACAGAACGTGAGGAAGGGGGAGAGAGAGAGAAGGGGAGAACGAGAGAGAGAGGGTGGATGGGGAGAGAGAGAGTAACAACACATGCAGGGCCTTTCATTTTCTATTACAGGTTACCAGACAAGACCCATGGTGGCCTGGTAGACTTTGTTCCTCTATGCTATTGATATCCATTAGAAGAACATACGCTTGTCAGTTGTCAGTCATGTTTTACAACAGTGCACCACTCTTCTAGGATCATATAATATGAAGAAAAACAAAGGCTGATGTAGAAAGTGTAGTAGAGCATCACTAAATTCCTTCAAGGACACGCCACCCCCAACCCAAAAGGTAAGACCTTCAGTTGTGTCAATCGTAAATTCGGTGCTTTTCGAAAGCTAACCACTCTTTAAAATCGCCTGACAATGAAGTACATTGTATTCCGATGGGCGACGCAAAAATGATCGATTCCAACCAACAAAACTGTTCAAATGATCAATAACCCACTGTAAGGGATGGACATGTTATTACAACACTAACAGTCCATTAACAAATGCATCTGCAAGAAACCGACATTCGGGTTGCATGTATTTAAATGACAATGCGCTGTGCTCTTTGGAGCTCTGCTGTGCCAGTGACGGTGAGGTAATGAGGCCTGGGTGTTCTATGGAGGACAGGGCTGGGAGTTGAGCTGGATCTGGCTGGGCTGCCAGCCTGCCAACTGGGCCATCTGTGAGCCCCTGCCGGTGGGGATGGAGCAATGATTTATTTACACACTAGATGACTGACAGTGGGCGCTGTTTTAAAGCCACCGCGCCTCCATCTTGGCACTCCCACATTATTGTACAAAATATTTTGGAAGCTATAGAAATGCATTTATTAATGTCTAGATTTGTTTTTGCCATGTTTATTATATTACAGACAATGCATACTTTTATAAACATTTTTAAAAATAATACATTTCTGGGATCTTTTATTTCAGCTCATGAAACATGGGTCCAACACTTTACATGTTGCGTTTATATTTTTGCTGGAAAAACGTATGTGTTATGGCTTTACATTCCCTGCTATATCGTGGATCGAGAGTTACCTGTCTAACAGAACACTTAGGGTGTTCTATAATGGAATCCTCTGCAACATAATCCAGGTAGAGTCAGGCATTACCCAGGCCAGCTGTCTAGGCCCCTTAATTTTTTTAAATTATTTTTTTTACTAATGACCTGTAAAGCCTGTGTGTCTATGTATGCTGATGACTCAACACTATACACATCATCAACCACAACAAGTGACATCACTGCAACACTTAAAATATCAATCAAATTGTATTGTTACATGCACCGAATACAACAGGTGTAGACTTTACAATGAAATGCTAAATAATATTTGCTAAATAAAAAAGGAAATAGTAACAAAAACAATAATGAGGCTATATACAAGGAGTACTGAGTCAATGTACAGGGGTACGAGGTAGTTGAGGTAATTGAGGTAATTGAGGTTTTTTATGGCGGTTTTGGAGCAATGGCTTCTTCCTTGCTGAGCGGACTTTCAGGTTATGTCGATATATAGGACTTGTTTTACTGATATAGATACTTTTGTACCCGTTTCCTCCAGCATCTTCACAAGGTCCTTTGCTGTTGTTCTGGGATTGATTTGCACTTTTCGCACCAAAGTACGTTCATCTCTAGGAGACAGAAAGCGTCTCCTTCCGGAGCGGTATGACGGCTGCGTGGTCCCATGGTGTTTATACTTGCGTACTATTGTTTGTACAGATGAACGTGGTACCTTCAGGCGTTTGGAAATTGCTCCCGAGGATGAACCAGACTTGTGGAGTCCAACGATTTCTTTTCTGAGGTCTTGGCTGATTTCTTTTGATTTTCCCATGATGTCAAGCAAAGAGGCACTGAGTTTGAAGGTAGGCCTTGAAATACATCCACACGTACACCTACCATTGACTCAAATGATGTCAATTAGCCTATCAGAAGCTTCTAAAGCCATGACATCATTTTCTGGAATTTTCCAAGCTGTTTAAAGGCACAGTCAACTTAGTGTATGTAAACGTCTGACCCACTGGAATTGTGATACAGTGAATTATAAGTGAAATAATCTGTCTATAAACAATTGCTGGAAAGATGACTTGTGTCATGCACAAAATAGATGTCCTAACCGACTTGCCAAAACTATAGGTTTGTTAACAAACATTTGTGGAGGGGTTGAAAAACGAGTTTTAATGACTCCAACCTAGTGGCGCAGCGGTCTAAGGCACTGCATCTCAGTGCTTGAGGCGTCACTACAGACCCCCTGGTTCGATTCCAGGCTGTATCACAACCAGCCGTGATTGGGAGTCCCATAGGGCGGCACACAATTAGCCCAGCGTCGTCTGGGTTTGGCCGGTGTAGGCCGTCATTGTAAATAAGAATTTGTTCTTAACTGACTTGCCTAGTTAAATAAAGGTAAAATAAAAAAATAAAAAATAAAAACCTAAGTGTATGTAAACTTCCGACTTCAACTGTATGTGTGTGGCGTCAATATGCACGTGCGTGTGTGTGTGTGTTGGAGTGTCAGTGTAGTATGTGTGAGTGTGTGTTGGAGTGTCAGTGTAGTATGTGTGAGTGTGTGGGTAGAGTCTAGTGAGTGCATATAGCCAGTGCAAGGCAGTCAGTGGAAACCAATTAAGATAATTAAAGAAATAATAAAGGGGGTCAATGTAAATTGTCCGGGAGGCCCTTTGATTAACTGTTCAGCAGTCTTATGAATTTACAAAGAGCTGCAGTCAGTTTTAGAATTGGTGGCAAGACATGAGTTAGTCCTAAATATTTAAACAACGAATAGCATTGTATTTGTGACTAATCATTCACTAAACCGTAAACCTCAACTGAATCTTGTAATGAATAATGTGGCAATTGAGCAAGTTGAGGAGACTAAACTGCTTGGTGTAACCCTGGATTGTAAACTGTCATGGTCAAAACATATTGATGCAAAGGTAGCTTAGACGGGGAGACCTGTTCATAATAAAGCGTTGCTCTGCTTTCTTGACATCGCTATCAACAAAACAAGTCCTACAGGCCCTAGTTTTGTCACACCTGGACTACTGCCCAGTCATATGTTCAAGTGCCACAAAGAGGCACAGGCAAATTACAGTTGGCCCAGAACAGAGCAGCACGGCTGGCCCTTAAATGTACACGAAGAGCTAACATCAATAACATGCCTGTCAATCGCTCCTGGCTCAAAGTAGAGAAGAGATTTACTGCATCACTACTTGTCTTTGTGAGAGGTATTGACATGTTAAAAGTACCGAGCTGTCTGCTTAAATGACTAGCACACAGCTCAGACACCCATGCATACCCCACAAGACATGCCACCAGAGGTCTCTACACAGTCCCCAAGTCCAGAACAGACTATGGGAAACGCACAGTACTACATAGAGCCATGACTACATGGAACTCTATTCCACATCAAGTACAGTGCCTTCAGAAAGTATTCATACCCCTTGACTTATTCCACATTTTGTTGTGTTTTCTCACCCATCTACATACAATACCCCATAATGACAAAGTGAAAACATGCAATGTAGGCCTGCACTGAACACCACATAAAGGCTACTGTAGGCTATATCATAGAAATCTACATCTATTTCCATGTGAAAATGTTATGGGATTTGCTCTATTGGTTTTATTGGTAGGCCTTCATTATGCTCAAATGCTCCCCCTGGGACACCACACAGAGCGCAGAAGAACTGTCAGCCCACAGAGAGAAGCACGAGACTGAACTTCACTCAACTTTCTAGAGTTTTCCCTGTTAGTTAAATGCTATCAACTGTAATACTGTGGCAATTGTGATCGAATCAACGCAATATTAGCCACTTTCAACGCAACACAGCGAAACAAAATGTTCTATTGCGCACGACTCAGCCTGTACTCTACACAACGTTCAAGTTTGAGCTCAGCAAACCTGAAATTTCCTCAGTGTCGAAAATTTTTTGAGGGAACATTGGCCACAAGGCTACTGTCTAAAACTGTAAGGGTACAGCCTCAGTGTTCACTGTAAATGCGTACCTGAAGTTGCACAGAATTCTCACAATGTTCAAGTTTCTGCTCACAAGACCTAAAATTTGATCAGTGCCCCAAAATATTATTGGGAACATTGGTACTCAGTAATGTGTTGTATTGGATTTGCCCCAAACATAACACTTTGTATTCAGGACAAAAAGTGAATTGCTTTGCCACATTTTTTGCAGTGTTAATTTAGTAAATGTGTTGCAAACAGGATGCATGTTCTGCACAGGCTCCCTTCCTGTCAGTCTGTCAATTAGGTTAGTATTGTGGAGTAACTACAATGTTGTTGAACCATTGGCCTCATGGAGAAATCCATGAGCATTTTCCTTCCTCTCCGGCAACTGAGTTAGGAAGGACACCTGTATCTTTGTAGTGACTGGGAGTATTGATACACCATCCAAAGAGTAATTAATAACTTCACCATGCTCAAAGGGATATTCGATGTCTGCTTTTTTTTTAACCCATCTACCAATAGGTGCCCTTCTTTGCGAGGCATTTGAAAACATCCCTGGTCTTTGTGGTTGAATCTGTGTTTGAAATTCACTGCTCGACCAAGGGACCTTACAGATAATTGTATGTGGGGTACAGAGATGAGGTAGTCATTAGAGTATAGTACTGTGTAATAACGTGTTGTATTGTATATATGTTGTGGTAGTGTGCAATAATGTGTTGTATAGCAGATATGTTGTGGTAGATTATTGTGTAATAATGTGTTGTATTGTAGATATGTTGTGGTAGAGTAGCGTGTAATAATGTGTTGTATTGTAGATATATTGTGGTAGAGTAGTGTATAATAATGCGTTGTATTGTAGATATGTTGTGGTAGAGTAGTGTGTAATAATGTGTTGTATTGTAGATATGTTGTGGTAGAGTAGCGTGTAATAATGTGTTGTATTGTAGATATATTGTGGTAGAGTAGTGTATAATAATGCGTTGTATTGTAGATATGTTATGGTAGAGTAGCGTGTAATAATGTGTTGTATTGTAGATATATTGTGGTAGAGTAGTGTGTAATAATGTGTTGTATTGTAGATATATTGTGGTAGAGTAGTGTATAATAATGCGTTGTATTGTAGATATGTTGTGGTAGAGTAGTGTGTAATAATGTGTTGTATTGTAGATATATTGTGGTAGAGTAGTGTATAATAATGCGTTGTATTGTAGATATGTTGTGGTAGAGTAGTGTGTAATAATGTGTTGTATTGTAGATATGTTGTGGTAGAGTAGCGTGTAATAATGTGTTGTATTGTAGATATATTGTGGTAGAGTAGTGTATAATAATGCGTTGTATTGTAGATATGTTATGGTAGAGTAGCGTGTAATAATGTGTTGTATTGTAAAGATGTTGTGGTAGAGTAGTGTGTAATAATGTGTTGTATTGTAAAGATGTTGTGGTAGAGTAGTGTGTAATAATGTGTTGTATTGGAAAGATGTTGTGGTAGAGTAGTGTGTAATAATGTGTTGTGTGATGTACTGTTTTATTTTGTATGTAATTGCCTTAATCTTGTTTGGACCCCAGGAAGAGAAGCCTTTGCAACAGCTAATGGGGATCCATAATAAAACACAGAAATGTTGTATTTGCGAAGGCCAAAGTGCACCAGAGAGCTGACGAACTGGCGGTCATGATTAAAATGGCAAGATTGAACAGAGTGTTTTTCCTCACATCACTAAGTCAGAGAGGCACCGACCTGGTTGGGTCCTTTTTGTGGTAAGAGACGGTAAAGAACAGTAGTTGTGTAGTTCAGCAGTATGTAAGCAGCTGTAGAGCAGAGCTCCACCACACATCCCAGGGAACCATGTTAATAATTACAGGTAGTATTAATATTTAACACTTCAAGTCTTCTTTGAATCCTTAAGCATTTAGTTAAAATAAAACTCAGAGAAAAAGCAGAGCTGGGGGAGAACCTAGTGTTGGTAGGAGGACTGAAGATGTTTCTCTATAATCTACCTCTTGCATGAACAGTCGGATGTACAATACCCTTTCAACTGCACTGTACTGTACATGACAATCATTAGTCAAGGAACTTAACTGTGTTCCTCTATCATGGTTTTCTTGTCACAGAATGCACACACCATAATAGCTCCTTGGTTCTGTATTTTTGGACAGCAGTCATGGTCAGGAAGCAGCACTTGGGCAGGGCACCCTTCCTCCTGCTTTCCGATGCAGGAAAAACTGAGGACTGCGTGCATAGCTTGCATTTCAGTGTTCTTTTGTGGATATTGCTGACACCATGCAAATATCATCTTGGTCAGCATGTTTATATATTTATATTGGGAGTGGCCCTCCAAACTTAAATAATTGGTCAGATGTTGAATGTGTGAGAAGCAGTTTTGGACCAGAGGAGCGTTGGATTCCCGGTGGTGAGGAGGAATCTTACCAGAAGTACTGCTGACGTCCCGTTAGGTCGGAAGAGTTCAATCGACATGTCTGGAAACATCCTGCCGATCCTTGATATCACGTCGTCCACATACCTGGAGGAGGAGAGATGGAGTACATTTTTACGGTTTGAAGAAAAATAACAAAATGTTTCAAACTATATACAGATGAAGTCGGAAGTTTACATACACATAGGTTGGAGTCATTAAAACTCATTTTTCAACCACTCCACACATTTCTTGTTAACAAACTATAGTTTTGGCAAATCGGTTTGGACATCTACTTTGTGCATGGCACAAGTAATTTTCCCAACAATTGTTTACAGACAGATTATTTCACTTATAATTCACTGTATCACAATTCAAGTGGGTCAGACGTTTACATACACTAAATTGACTGTGCCTTTAAACAGCTTGGAAAATTCCAGAAAATGATGTCATGGCTTTAGAAGCTTCTGATAGGCTAATTGACATCATTTGAGTCAATTGGAGGTGTACCTGTGGATGTATTTCAAGGCCTACCTTCAAACTCAGTGCCTCTTTGCTTGACATCATGGGAAAATCAAAAGAAATCAGCCAAGACCTCAGAAAAGAAATTGTTGGACTCCACAAGTCTGGTTCATCCTTGGGAGCAATTTCCAAATGCCTGAAGGTACCACGTTCATCTGTACAAACAATAGTACGCAAGTATAAACACCATGGGACCACGCAGCCGTCATACCGCTCAGGAAGGAGACGCGTTCTGTCTCCTAGAGATGAACGTACTTTGGTGCGAAAAGTGCAAATCAATCCCAGAACAACAGCAAAGGACCTTGTGAAGATGCTGGAGGAAACTGTAAAAAGTATCTATATCCACAGTAAAACGAGTCCTATATCGACATAACCTGAAAGGCCGCTCAGCAAGGAAGAAGCGACTGCTCCAAAACCGCCATAAAAAAGCCAGACTACGGTTTGCAACTGCACATGGGGACAAAGATTGTACTTTTTGGAGAAATGTCCTCTGGTCTGATGCAACAAAAATATAACTGTTTGGCCATAATGACCATTGTTATGTTTGGAGGAAAAAGGGGAGCGCTTGCAAGCCGAAGAACACCATCCCAACCGTGAAGCACGGGGGTGGCAGCATCATGCTGTGGGGGTGCTTTGCTGCAGGAGGGACTGGTGCACTTCAAAAAAATAGATGGCATCATGAGGAAGGACAATTATGTGGATATATTGAAGCAACATCTTGAGAAATCAGTCAGGAAGTTAAAGCTTGGTCGCAAATGGGTCTTCCAAATGGACAATGACCCCAAGCATACTTCCAAAGTTGTGTCAAAATGGCTTAAGGACAACAAAGTCAAGGTATTGGAGTGGCCATCACAAAGCCCTGACCTCAATCCTATAGAAAACGTGTGGGCAGAACTGAAAAAGCGTGTGCGAGCAAGGAGGCCTACAAACCTGACTCAGTTACAAACACTAATTGAGTATACGTAAACTTCTGACCCACTGGGAATGTGATGAAAGAAATAAAAAGCTGAAATAAATCACTCTCTACTATTATTCTGACATTTCACATTCTTAAAATAAAGTGGTGATCCTAACTGACCTAAGACAGGGAATATTTACTAGGATTAAATGTCAGGAATTGTGAAAAACAGAGTTTAAATGTATTTGGCTAAGGTGTATGTACACTTCCGACTTCAACTGTATTTGAGTAACACAGATAGCATAAGAACACGGTATAATCCATGGCAAAATGTGTAGAATTGCAGGAAACTACCTTTAAAACTGTAAAATGTTCTCTCAGCCCCATAGCAAAATGTGTAGAATTGCAGGAAATGTTCTTTAAACCAACAAAATAGTGTCTCTGTGGCCTCGAAATCCGCACCATTGGCACCTACCGCTACCCCCTTAACTTTTTATTTATTTATATTTTTTATTTAACCTTTATTTAAACAGGGAGTCACATTGAGCCCTGTATACATTACAATAACAACAGAATAATAACACAACATACACGTGTATAAAACAATATCATTCAACACACAATAACAAAATAAACATATTTAATAAAAGCAAATCACATTCAACTACATAGAGGTCCTCAATCAATCATTTAAACTGCCTAAGTGGCACCAGCACATCTAACTGCAGTGAACTCTGCGGATTGTTCCACAAATTTGGAGCAAAAGAAAAAAAACACAGATTTTCCTAAATCTGTGGAGACTGAAGGTTATCTCTAGTGTTATCCATTCCTGAGAACGGGTTTGGTAATTTATGATTCTTAACTTAATTAATGAAGTTACATATGAATGGAGTTTCTGTAAGATTGCTTTGTAAAAAAAAAAAGAGAATACAGCTATCTTCTTACAGACAAAGAGGTCCATCCCATATTTTAATACAGACTAAAATGATGAGTCCTAAAATTGTTCCCTGTGATAAAACGTAATGCGGAATGGTAGACTGCGTCCAAGGGTTTCAAAACAGAGGTCGCTGCATGCACGTAAACAATATCACCAAAATCCAATACAGGGAGAAGTGTTGTTTGAACAATCTTTCTCTTATTTTCAATACTGAGGCATGATTTATTTCGATATAAAAAACCAATCTTGGATCTTAGCTTCTTCATCAGATTTTCTATATGCGTTACGAAGAACAACTAATCATCAATCCAGACACCCAGGTGCTTATATTGAGAAACAAGCTCAATTTGGGCTCCATTTGTAGTGCAAATACGCAGGTCCTCAGGGTCAACATTTCGTGACCAAGAGAACAGCATGAGCTTGGTTTTACTTGTATTTAACACTAAGATCTGTAAGTGATTTCTGAAATGAATCAAAGTCAACTTTACCGCCACTGCTGAAACAAATCATAGGGGAAACAATGGAAACCATCGATTACCATCATGAAAACATTGATTCAACTGCGCTTCAGATGTTGAATAATTTCAAGTGTAGATTTTCCAAAAGATTTGTTGAGAATAGAAAAATCAACATGTCAATAACACAGCAGTATGTTTGTCCTCCTAGGACTCTGGATTGATATACAGTTGAAGTCTGAAGTTTACATACACCTTAGCCAAATACATTTAAACTTAGTTTTTCACAATTCCTGACATTTAATCCTAGTAAAAATTCCCTGTCTTAGGTCAGTTAGGATCACCACTTTATTTTAAGAATGTGAAATGTCAGAATAATAGAGAGAATGATTTATTTCAGCTTTTATTTCTTTCATCACATTCCCAGTGTGTCAGAAGATTACGTACACCCAATTAGTATTTGGTAGCATTGCCTTTAAATTGTTTAACTTGGGTCAAACGTTTCGGGTAGCCTTCCACAAGCTTCCCACAATAAGGTGGGTGAATTTTGGCTCATTACTCCTGACAGAGCTGGTGTAACTGAGTCAGGTTTGTAGGCCTCCTTGCTCGCACCCACTTTTTCAGTTCTGCCCACAAATGTTCGATAGGATTGAGGCCAGGGCTTTGTGATGGCCACTCCAATTCCTTGACTTTGTTGTCCTTAAGCCATTTTGCCACAACTTTGGAAGTATGCTTGGAGTCATTGTCCATTTGGAAGACCCATTTGCGACCAAGCTTTAACTTCCTGACTGATGTCTCGAGATGTTGCTTCAATATATCCACATAATTGTCCTTCCTCATGATGCCATCTATTTTTTGAAGTGCACCAGTCCCTCCTGCAGCAAAGCACCCCCACAGCATGATGCTGCCACCCCCATGCTTCACGGTTGGGATGGTGTTCTTTGGCTTGCAAGCCCTTTTTCCTCCAAACATAACGATGGTCATTATGGACAAACAGTTCTATTTTTGTTTCATCAGATCAGAGGACATTTCTCCAAAAAGTACGATCTTTGTCCCCATGTGCAGTTACAAACCATAGTCGGGCTTTTTTATGGCGGTTTTGGAGCAGTCGCTTCTTCCTTGCTGAGCGGCCTTTCAGGTTATGTCGATATAGGACTCGTTTTACTGTGGATATAGATACTTTTGTACCTGTTTCCTCCAGCATCTTCACAAGGTCCTTTGCTGTTGTTCTGGGATTGATTTGCACTTTTCGCACCAAAGTACGTTCATCTCTAGGAGACAGAACGCGTCTCCTTCCTGAGCGGTATGACGGCTGCGTGGTCCCATGGTGTTTATACTTGCGTACTATTGTTTGTACAGATGAACGTGGTACCTTCAGCCATTTGGAAATTGCTCCCAAGGATGAACCACACTTGTGGAGGTCTACAATTTTTTTTCTGAGGTCTTGGCTGATTTCTTTTGATTTTCCCATGATGTCAAGCAAAGAGGCACTGAGTTTGAAGGTAGGCCTTGAAATACATCCACAGGTACACCTCAAATTGACTCAAATTATGTCAATTAGCTTATCAGAAGCTTCTAAAGCCATGACATCATTTTCTGGAATTTTCCAAGCTGTTTAAAGGCACAGTCAACTTCGTGTATGTAAACTTCTGACCCACTGGAATTGTAATACAGTGAATTATAAGTGAAATATTCTGTCTGTAAACAATTGTTGGAAAAATTACTTGTGTCATGCACAAAGTAGATGTCCTAACCGACTTACCAAAACTAGTTTGTTAACAATACATTTGTGGAGTGGTTGAAAAACTAGTTTTAATGACTCCAACCTAAATGTATGTAAACTTCCGACTTCAACTGTATTATAACAAAATCAATGGGTCCCATGCCATCTTTTGAAGTTTTGCTTCTCCCGGACTGTCCAGTTTTTATTTTGGTGAATATTAGTTCTGAAATAATATCTTATTGAAATATATAGCTCCATTATCAGCTGGTATAGCCTACAGTACATTATCATTCCATTTCATTATTTCGTTTACCTTCATTTGCTTCCACTGTAAACGCCGTCACGGCCATGTGGTTGTTACTGAGGATCATTAGTAACAGTTGATAATATTTATTTGATCATATTTGATAATATATATCCTACCGTTCAAAAGTTTGGGGTCACTTAGAAATGTCCTTGTTTTCGAAAGAAAAGCAATTTTTTTGTCCATTAAAATAACATCAAATTGATCAGAAATACAGTGTAGACATTGTTAATGTTGTAAATGGCTATTGTAGCTGGAAACAGCTGATTTTTAATGGAATATCTACATAGGCGGACAGAGGCCCATTATCAGCAACCATCAGTCCTGTGTTCCAATGGCACGTTGTGTTTGCTAATCCAAGTTTATCATTTTAAAAGGCTAATAATTGATCATTAGAAAACCCTTTTGCAATTATGTTAGCACAGCTGAAAATGGTTGTGCTGATTAAAGAAGCAATAAAACTGGCCTTCTTGAGACTAGTTGATTATCTGGAGCATCAGCAATTGTGGGTTCGATTACAGGCTCAAAATGGCCAGAAACAAATAACTTTCTTCTGAAACTCGTCAGTCTATTCTTGTTCTGAGAAATTAAGGCTATTCCATGCGAGAAATTGCCAAGAAACTGAAGATCTCGTACAACGCTGTGTACTACTCCCTTCACAGAACAGCGCAAACTGGCTCTAACCAGAATAGAAAGAGGAGTGGGAGGCCCCGGTGCACAACTGAGCAAGGGGACAAATACATGAGAGTGTCTAATTTGAGAAACAGACGCCTCACAGGTCCTCAACTGGCAGCTTCATTAAATAGTACCTGCAAAACACCAGTCTCAACGTCAACAGTGAAGAGGCGACTCCGGGATGCTGACCTTCTAGGCAGAGTTGCAAAGAAAAAGCCATATCTCAGACTGGCCAATAAAAAGAAAAGATTAAGATGGGCAGTCTGAGATATGGCTTTTTCTTTGCAACTCTGCCTAGATGGTCAGCATCCCGGAGTCGCCTCTTCACTGTTAACGTTGAGAGTGGTGTTTTGCGGGTACTATTTAATGAAGCTGTGCTAACATACTTGCAAAATATTTTTCTAATGATCAATTAGCCTTTTAAAATGATAAACTTGGATTAGCAAACACAACGCGCCATTGGAACACAGGACTGATGGTTGCTGATAATGGGTCTCTGTACGACTATGTAGATATTCCATTAAAAATCACCAATCTCCAGCTACAATAGCCATTTACAACATTAACATTTATATTTTTTTCGAAAACAAGGACATTTCTAAGTGACCCAAACTTTTGAACGGTAGTGTATATATATCAAAATTATATGTAGGCTAATTAAATCGTTAAGGAGCGGAGCGCAGACCAAGCCGTAACAGTTTGAACCCGACGCATGGCACAATACTTGGCTGTGTCATCACAGTTCCATGGTTAGTGCAGGCAACAGACAAGGGTATAGCCTACTATTGTACACTATTCTCCCTATTATAATTATATGTACACTAATCTTCCAACATTACCATGGGTTAAAGAACTGAATGTGGCAATTTTCAGAATGAAAAAAACCACAGTTCTTTCTTTTGTGTTTAAAGTCTCTCCTAACCTGTTTCTTTTGCATTATGCATAAATACTTTCCTAACCCTAAATAATGTACAAGATCAGAGTATTTTTAAATCTACCAATTGGTGCTGAAACGGAGACAAATATGGATATATTTAGATGCTTTCTTTCATTGATCTCTAATATTCTGAACCCTTTCTCTCCATATATTTTAGTGAGTCTGTGGACAAAATTCCAACTAAAAGGTACACCGTATTTAAAGGGATGGCTTAAGATAAATGTACTGAAAAGCCTATTGAATGAAAACTTCCAGAGAAAATCTGTTGGCCAGCAAGTGGGAGTGTTTTCAGCAGTTGAATTACATTAATTTAGTGCGCACAAGGGAACCATGCCTGCAAAGCCTGTTACGCACCTGCACAAGCTAAGTCTGAATACCAACTACTGAGAAGTGAGTAGGAAAGGCATGTGTAAGAAAGGTGTAATTTCCTAAGTCGGAATCGGGCCCTATGTGCATTGGGTTGAACATAGGCAGTAGAGCTGTTTAATAAAGATGCAGAACCACGTCAATTGGCAGCATTGTAGGGTGCAGGCTGCCAGCCAGTTACAAGACAAGACTTGTTCTTACATCTAGCTGCTTAATAATTCATCTAGGGAGTGAAACTCATTTAACCACAACACAAAACAACACATTTTCACTGATTCAAATCAGTATTGTAAATTAACATCTCCCTAGGCGTTGGATACTTGCCATTCTGGGCTAGGAGTTCCAAGTTCCACTTTCAACCAAACCAAGTTATTTGAGCCTGACCCCCCAAAAAATCCCTAAAAAAACAGCTGCCTCCATTTCTTACCCTTGCAAGAAGAACACTTGGATCGCAGGATGTCTCCAGTCTCCATGTAAAGTCCACTTCCCTAAAACAAACCCTGCACCATGGGGACACTCAATTAGCATAGCCCTAATTACTTATTATTGAGCTGCTCCCTAAATACAAAACGAGGATGGGTTTGAGAGAGTCAAATATTTGCCTCTGTGCGTAGAAGTGGCTGCCATATCATCCTTTTGTCCTAATGAGGGCTAGGAATTGTCAGGAACTCTATTATCACAATACTTACGTTCCGATATGATATGTATTGCGATTCTGCTGCAGAGAAACAAGAGAGAGCCATGAGAAAACAAGTTTTGGAGATAAAAGTGCTGAAAACATGTTGGCACAACATTTTAAAGATTTAAAAAGAAGATGGCGTACAAGCTATAGGATGAGAAATACCAGAGTTTTGGCGCAGCTACAACTGACTAACACTAGCTAGCGTTAACTACCTAACAAAAAATAAGAAAATATATATATACTTTTTTTTACAAATCGATACTTGGAGTCACAGTATTAATATAAAATTGGTAAAAATAATATTGCGATACTCTACTGTATCAATTCCCCCCCTCTATCCCTAGTCCTAATAGGCTACTTGTAATCCTTCGGTTTCCTCTTAATCCCAATGAATACTGGGCTACACATAGAAGGGCACTGGTCTGTAGGCAAAATTAGGATATGGCATAGGGGACGTGGATGGCGGTTAGTTGAGAGAATGGGTGATATTTTTTGTCCACAAAGCAGCACTAAAGACAATAAAATTAAATAATGTATTAATTTACAATGTTTGACGCAGATATTATCTCATAACTTTTCTTAAACAATTTTGGAGATAATTATTTATGTATTCGGAATCTTTGAGCTCTGCCATGTCTGTTGTGCAGACAGCAAATGTGGCCCAGATGAGAGACAATAGTCTAAAGATGGTTCGGAGGGTTAAAGATTAAAACACAATGGCACAAAAACCAAGCTCGCTGTGGACTGTGTAGCCGAAATGTACTTACATTTTCTTGTGGGGAGAGCACCCCTGTGTTCTGATTGGCTTAAGTTGGGAAGCCATTATCAACAGCCGACGAATATTCTAAATGTTGAATTGAATTGGGAAAGTCAAACACCCCTTGCCACCTGGTCTTCAATGGTGCGGGCAGCAGGTGATTCTGGGACATCATCATGTAGCTTAGTGATCACATTGAGCAATCAAAACCAAGCAATCAAATTCAAATGCTCCAAATAGATTTTGATCAAATGCAGGGAAATTTAGGCCTAACTCTATGCGAGAGCTGATTGTACATATGGATAAAAATAAAGGACTTGACTAAAAGAAAACACATGAAGATTGGATTGTCTGTGTAGCAGCTAGTCTTTTTGAAGCTACAGTATGAATACTGTATTTATCCTTCCTCTGACTACACTACCTTATGCACTCTGCTCAATATTCCTCCACTGAATAATCTTCCCATTAGTGTTCATGAGAGATGCTTTATTGAAAAATGAACGGGGCATTATATTGGTAATATAGAGAGATGAACATGGGGACCCACAGTTATCTGGACTAGTAGGGCCTGACTTAAAGGAATAGCCCCCAGAATATCTTGGTCTACAAGTCATTAAGGCTTTTTTAAATGCAAAGTTAATGAATTCTCAAAGGAAATATAGACATAGGGGAGGTTACGTTACACAGTTTAAGAATCCACTGTGAAGAGTGTCTTGAATGTTAACGCTCCAGATTACCATTAGGTGCAGCTGAGCAGGTGAAAACCTTACTCCGTCCAAAATGTATTTGAAAAGTGATCCGCGAGTACCAAGACAAAGCGGATCTAGAGACGTTTCACGACAGAAAATGATTACCAAGAAACAAAGCCTGACATTAGCCTGCCAGAGTGTTTGGAGATGGAACCAAGCATTTATTTTATATCTGCAAACAGTGCGGTTGACTATGAGGAGTGGTCAGATATTCCCTTGCTTGTGAACGCATTGCTTACTGAGATGAAAACTGATAAATCAGAGCTGTCTTACTTGCTGTTCAGTCTAATCAGGGATCACTGATGACTGAAATGTTAATACCCCTCAACTCTACTGTGCCGCAGTGCAGCAGTGGAAACAGGATGTGCCTGGCCTGACCAGCCTCTGTGTGCCATTCATTTGGCCCACAGTATGCTCGCAAATTCAAGCATCATTTAAATATTGCCCAAATAAAAAAATGTGGGCGGTGTGTGACCAAGCTTGTTATGGAAAATGTGAAGAACCATGTGACGACCCGAGCTTCATCGACAAGACAAACCATCTGGAAATGATCACCCCAGTTACAATGTGATGTCACATTTAAGATCAATGTGAAAAATAGCTTCTACATGTTTCGGAAATGTTCCTCCTCCTGTTTTGTAACCGTGTTAATATGTGAGTGGACATGGGGCCTAAGAGAGCAGTGCAGTGGGGAAGGGGATGGGGTTGGCTCCTAATAGACCTGCTTAGCCTCTATGCTGATAGGAATAGGCAAGCCCAAGCTGCCAACGACACTTTGAATCAATGCTCCAAGGACAAAGGTCTGTGTCCCAGGAGTGACAAACTGATCATCGTTGACCAACAGACGACAACCCCAGCACGAGTCCCACCAAAGTGACCTTGCATGGCTCACAGTTCGCAGGTGACCTTCCAGAAGCAGAGGCAATATCACCATATTACTACACTGAGTGTACAAAACATTAGGAACACCTTCCTACTATTGAGTTGCACCCCCTTTTGCCCTCAGAACAGCCTCAATTCGTCGGGGCATGGACTCTACAAGATGTCGAAAGCATTCCACAGGGATGCTGCCCCTGTTGTCGCCAATGCTTCCCACAGTTGTGTCAAGTTGGCTGGATGTCCTTTGGGTGGTGGACCATTCTTGATACACACGGGAAACTGTTGAGCATGAAAAACCCAGCAGCGTTACAGTTCTTGACACACTCAAACCGGTGCGCCTGGCACCTACTACCATACACCTCCCGAGTGGCGCAGTGGTCTAAGGCTGTGCCACTAGAGATCCTGGTTCGAATCCAGGCTCTGTCGTAGCCGGCCGCGACCGGGAGACCCATGGGGCGGCGCACAATTGGCCCAGCGTCGTCCAGGGTAGGGGAGGGAATGGCCGGCAGGGATGTAGCTCAGTTGGTAGAGCATGGCGTTTGCAACGCCAGGGTTGTGGGTTCGTTTCCCACGGGGGGCCAGTATAAAAAATGATGTATGCACTCACTAACTGTAAGTCGCTCTGGATAAGAGCGTCTGCTAAATGACTAAAATGTACAAATGTAATACACCGTTCAAAGGCACTTAAATCTTTTGTCTTGCCCATTCATCCTATGAATGGCACACATACACAATCCATGTCTCAAGACTTAAAAATCCTTCTTTAACCTGTCTCCTACCCTTCAACTACACTGATTGAAGTGGATTTAACAAGTGACATCAATAAGGTATCACCCCTGGATTCACCTGGTCAGTCTATGTCATTGAAAGAGCAGGTGTTCCTAATATTTTGTACACTCAGTGTATAGTGGTACCCTTCTGAATCTGATATCAGTCAGTCAGTTGGAATCACTATCAAGGTTAGTTTGACTTTAACCATACATTTGTCTTTACTTTGCTTTTAACAAAGAGAGCACAATTGCTCTAATTCGGTCACTGCGTCTCTGGATTAAACACAGACCAGCAACTCTAGCAGCTCAAAGAGATGCATGATTAACCTAAATGTGTTAACCACTTAACAATAATAATCCAGACAGGGGGGGCTAGCTAGCTGTCTAAGGGAGGGTGACTTATGCATGAGAGGAGTCAGTCAATATGTGCCAGTTTAGCTGATTACATTCAGCATGACTCCATTTAGAGGATTAATCTTCTTCACACATATGCATGACAGTGATCTGCCTCATTGATAGTGTTCTGACCGTTCAGTATTTTATTAGGATCCCCATTAGCTGTTGCAAAACATGACATAATACAGAACATGAATAGACAAGAACAGCTCAAGGACAGAAATACATCAATTTTAAAATGGTGCACATAGCTACATATCAATACATACACACAAAATATCTAGGTCAAATAGGGGAGAGGTGTTGTGCTGTGAGGTGTTGCTTTATCTGTTTTTTTAAACCAGGTTTGCTGTTCAGGTTTGATTGTGTCTGCAAATTCAGCCAAATAGAATTTTGCCTCTTCGCTTCTCTCATATGCGTCTGGAAACCCCCTTTCATACCAAAGCCACATCCCAGACAATGTCCTAGCATGAGGCCCAGCGTCGTCCAGGGTAGGGGAGGGAATGGCAGGCAGGGAGGTAGCTCAGTTGATAGAGCATGGTGTTTGCAACGCCAGGGTTGTGGGTTCGTTTCCCACGGGGGGCCAGTATGAAAATAATAATGTAAGTCGCTCTGGATAAGAGAGTCAGCTAAATGACGTAAATGTAATGAGGCATGCTAGTGAGCAGTCAGATGTATTCTATTACCTGTTAAACTCTTCAGCATCCAGTCTTGACTCCTGTATGCTAAACTCTTCTTGTGACTTGTCGGACTAATAGGCTATAAGATTGTATAACCTGGTTTCTCCATACATTGACCAGGATTGTTTTCAAGGATTAGCTCACATGACAAAGCAGATTCGACTTGAACAATCACCCTGGCCAGTCTCTAATTGCCTGCCATTGATCTAATCGCCAACAGAAATATGTCTGTTCAGGACTTGGTAGCCAGAGTGTCTGCATAAACCCAATATTATAAAATATTCTATATTCATTCACTACCATCAACATTTCTTTGGAACACTGTAATTACACAGTGCACTTTCTGGGGCATTTATGTAGCTACATACAGAAGAAACAATGCCGGAGGGTGGATGCAAAAAAAACGTAAAGGTTGTGCTGCATAATTCATGCGCTGGCTGCTCCTTTTAGAAACGGCAAATTCATCAGAACAATGACGTTTGACAGAGGAGCCGCTGGTTGGCTTCACCTTGACCCACTCTTCATCAGCTCTCTTCCTGTGCTGCACGGAGGCATTAGAGTTCCCCAAAGCTCAGAGTCACCCCGGCACAACGCAGGAAACCGGACAGCGAGAAACTGCTCAGAGAAGATATAGGCCTACAGTGACAGCCGTGCTTTCACTGTTGCCCACTATTGATATTTCCTTTTACATCCAGAGTGCAGACACTTTACTGAGCAAAGCCGGCCCTACCTCCCAAGCCAAAAACTGCTAAAGTGCCAGATGGGAAATATGGGGGGAAAATGTCACCCAAACCCAGTGAATCTGACATTTTGTGAGGATCTTTCTTTTGTTGACAAGGGGTGTGAGGGTGAACAGAAGAGAGCACCAGGTGCCATTTCCACACATTCTGTAAACCTGATCCACCAGAAGGTTGCATTGTAATAACATTATGAAAACCGAAGCCTATATCTATCAAAAGGCACTGATTAAAAAGGTGGGTGATTTCAAAAGACCAGGGTACAAAGATTATTAAGGGTACAATGCCACACTGATCAAGGACTATCCATAAGAGCCCAACACACAATGGATTTCTGTTTTTGTAGCAGCTATACCAGCTGGGGACCACGCTCTATGCCCGTGGGGGACCACTCTTTTCTCTCTCCTTCAACCACTTTCATCAACCACTGGGGACGTCGTCCCTCAGTCCATCCAACTAGACCTCCTGCATGCCCTTCCCCCACTCTCATCACTCTCCTATCAAAGCAAGAGGTCTACAGCCCCAAGATGTCCAAGACAACAAAATAAGACATTGCACAATTTTTATTAGTCACGTGATCCCTCTGGACTATGACAACTCTAAACAGAAAGAAAAATGACTGGAGGGAGATGATTCATCTCTTTCCCAACCATCAGGGAAATGTGTGAGCAGGAAGAGGAGCTATACTCACTGTGGTGGCAGAACCAGGGTACTGGGCTGGACTTTGGGTCTTCTCTTGGCAGATGCCCCCATTTGGTTAGCTGAGCGCTTGAGTGACTGCTGGTTAAGAAGACTGGACGCCAAGCCAGCATGGTACTGCAACTATATGGGGAGAAAATATCAGAAAATAATAAAAAACATGCCATGTTTTAGAACAATAACTAGGCCTAACAGGAAACATGCGGCATTAGGGAGTAAGACATGTTCAGAATATATGGTCAATGCTGAAATCCAACAGCACCATACCTTTAACAACCCACAGAACCATTGGAACCATGTGGTAGGATATGTATCTACTGTGCGCATCCTGTTAGTGGTGAGGAGGACAAGGCACTTCAGACGACACTCTATTACAGGGTGGAGATCATCCTGTGCAGCTCTAAACCACATCACATCAAGCATACATAGTGAATAGCCAAAAGCTGAGTTAGTCTGGGTCTGTGATGTCACAGCTATTAGCAACGGTAGCAACTAGATACAATATCCTTTTAGCCAGCTACATTTGTTCGCAGCGCCGCCGTTTTTCAAACAAAGTCAACACAGCAGCCATTGCTAGCTAGCCAACACGACCAGCTAGCTGTACTGTAGCAGCTAAATACAATATATTTGTGCTAGCTAGCCAACGTTTAATTATTGCTGCGTTATGAAAGGAACTAGACACGGACACGAATTATCTGTTTAGTGTGTTAACACACTATTGGTAGTTTGTTGTAACCAAGTATTGGTGCTAAACTGTGTGTTATTGGATGCTAGCATGCTAGTTAGCTATGGCGTCATAGTTAGCTAGCTGAATAAAGTAAGTTGAGTCTATTCCTTGAAACATTGAACCGCTGTAGTTCACAACAATTCTAATTTCTAAAGTGGAAGTTGGGAGAGTTTTTATTCGGGTGGTTCAGTGAAACAATTATAGTTTCTGAGGTGGAAGTTGGGTGAGTTATATTTGGGAGTTTTGGTGAGGGAGGCCCTACTCTCTCTTTTCCCAGATGTTTAGTTCATTTCATTCCGATCTCCTCTGCATTATTGTAGCCATTTGCTACAGCCTGTCAACTATGCCTCTGCCTATCCCTGTTCTCTCCTCTCCGCACAGGCTACACAAACGCCTCACACCGCGTGGCTGCTGCCTCTCTAACCTGGTGGTCCCTGCACGCACCCCACACCTGGAGTTCCAGGTCTCAGGCAGCCTCTGGAACTGCCGTTCTGCTGCCAACAAGGCTGACTTCATCCCAGCCTATGCTACCCTCCAGTCCCTCGACTTCCTGGCGCTGACGGAAACATGGATTACCACTGAAAACACTGCTACTCCTACTGCTCTCTCCTCGTCTGACCATGTGTTCTCGCATACCCCGAGAGCATCTGGTCAGAGGGGTGGTGGCACAGGAATCCTCATCTCTCCCAAGTGGACATTCTAAATTTTTCCCCCTAACCCATCTGTCTATCTCCTCATTTGAATTCCATGCTGTCACAGTCACTAGCCCATTTAAGCTTAATATCCTTGTCATCTATCGCCCTCCAGGTTCCCTTGGAGAGTTCATCAATGAGCTTGACGCCTTGATAAGTTCCTTTCCTGAGGATGGCTCACCCCTCACAGTTTTGGGGGATTTCAACCTCCCTACGTCTACATTTGACTCATTTCTCTCTGCCTCCTTCTTTCCACTCCTCTCCTCTTTTGACCTCACCCTCTCACCGTCCCCCCCTACTCACAAGGCAGGCAATACGCTTGACCTCATCTTTACTAGATGCTGCTCTTCTACTAATCTCACTGCAACTCCCCTCCATGTCTCCGACCACTACTTTGTATCCTTTTCTCTCTCGCTCTCCTCCAACACTACTCACTCTGCCCCTACACAGATGGTAATGCGCCGCCGCAACCTTCGCTCTCTCTCTCCCACTACTCTCTCCTCTTCCATCCTATCATCTCTTCCCTCTGCTCAATCCTTCTCCCTCCAATCTCCTGATTCTGCCTCCTCAACCCTCCTCTCCTCCCTTTCTGCATCCTTTGACTCTCTGTGTCCCCTATCCTCCCGGCCGGCTCGGTCCTCCCCTCCAGCTCCGTGGCTTGATGACTCATTGCGAGCTCACAGAACAGAGCTCCGGGCAGCGGAGCGGAAATGGAAGAAAACTAAACTCCCTGCCGACCTGGCATCTTTTCACTCCCTCCTCTCCATCTGTTTCTGCTGCTAAGGCCACTTTCTACCACTCTAAATTCCAAGCAAAGAGCTTCCTAACCCTAGGAAGCTCTTTGCCACATTCTCCTCCCTGCTGAATCCCCCCCCCCCCCCCCACTGATGTCAACAACTACAGACCAGTATCCCTTCTTTCTTTTCTTTCCAAAACTATTGAGCGTGCCGTCTTTAGCCAACTCTCTTGCTATCTCTCTCAGAATGACCTTCTTGATCCAAACCAGTCAGGTTTCAGGACTGGTCATTCAACTGAGACTGCTCTTCTCTGTGTCACGGAGGCTCTCCGCACTGCTAAAGCTAACTCTCTCTCCTCTGCTCTTGTCCTTCTAGACCTGTCTGCTGCCTTTGATACTGTGAACCATCAGATCCTCCTCTCCACCCTCTCCGAGCTGGGCATCTCCGGCGCGGCTCACTCCTGGATTGCGTCCTACCTGACCGGTCGCTCCTACCAAGTGGCGTGGCGTGGCGAGAAGCTGTCTCCGCACCACGTGCTCTCACCACTGGTGTCCCCCAGGGCTCAGTTCTAGGCCCTCTCCTATTCTCCCTATACACAAAGTCACTTGGCTCTGTCATATCCTCACATGGCCTCTCCTATCATTGCTACGCTGACGATACACAACTAATCTTCTCCTTTCCCCCTTCTGATAACCAGGTGGCGAATCGCATCTCTGCATGTCTGGCAGACATATCAGTATGGATGACGGATCACCACCTCAAGCTGAACCTTGGCAAGACGGAGCTGCTCTTCCTCCCGGGGAAGGACTGCCCGTTCCATGATCTCGCCATCACGGTTGACAACTCCGTTGTGTCCTCCTCCCAGAGTGCGAAGAGCCTTGGCGTGACCCTGGACAACACCCTGTCGTTCTCCGCTAACATCAAGGCAGTGACCCGATCCTGCAGGTTCATGCTCTACAACATTCGGAGAGTACGACCCTGCCTTACACAGGAAGCGGCACAGGTCCTAATCCAGGCACTTGTCATCTCCCGTCTGGATTACTGCAACTCGCTGTTGGCTGGGCTCCCTGCCTGTGCCATTAAACCCCTACAACTCATCCAGAATGCCGCAGCCCGTCTGGTGTTCAACCTTCCCAAGTTCTCTCACGTCACCCCGCTCCTCCGCACACTCCACTGGCTTCCAGTTGAAGCTCGCATCTGTTACAAGACCATGGTGCTTGCCTATGGAGCTGTGAGGGGATCGGCACCTCTGTACCTTCAGGCTCTGATCAGTCCCTACACCCAAACGAGGGCATTGCGTTCATCCACCTCTGGCCTGCTGGCTCCCCTTCCTCTGCGGAAGCATAGTTCCCGCTCAGCCCAGTCAAAACTGTTCGCTGCTCTGGCACCCCAATGGTGGAACAAGCTCCCTCACGACGCCAGGACAGCGGAGTCACTCACCACCTTCCGGAGACATTTGAAACCCCACCTCTTTAAGGAATACCTGGGATAGGATAAAGTAATCCTTCTACCCTCCCCCCCCCCCTAAAAAAAAAAAAAAAAAAAAAACATATTGTAAAGTGGTTATCCCACTGGCTATAGGGTGAATGCACCAATTTGTAAGTCGCTCTGGATAAGAGCGTCTGCTAAATGACGTAAATGTAAATGTAAATGTTATGTCACCAAACCTTGAGATACTTAAACACAGCGCCAAGGCCAACGATGTGACAGTAATGTGACAGCCGTCAGATTAAAGTTAATAAAGGTAGAAATCTGACCTTGAGTTAAGTGACACATGACAAGTTGAAAGCGGTACTGTTACTACCAGAAACACCATGTATTATAATTTGTCCTCTGTTCTAGCCTGGAGCAGCACACACAAAATCGAAAAATTCACAAGAAAACATTATTGGCAGCAGAGCAGAGAAAAATAAGAACACAAGTGAGTCATCATCAAGTTTAATTGAGACACTGTAGCCGACTGTTTTCCCAAAGCTAAAACCCAAGCCTGACAACAATCTGCTCACTTAAAAAGGAGAAATATTTGGTTTGGTAGCCCAACTATATCCTCCACTCCTGCCCACACTGCCTCCCCCTCTCCTCCTGTCGTTGGTTTGGGAGCCATGAGTGGCAAGTAAAGCAGCTCTCACTTTGATGTAGAAGCGACAGAAGCCTGTCGGCAGCGCCACTTCACGTCTGATGAAACGGCGTGAAAGAGATGGAATCTATGCAGAATACACAGGTGTTAAAATCAGCGTCCGTCCTACAGCCCAACGGCTGGTGTCAAATGTGACAGTAAAGCCTAAAGAGACCAGCAATACCTCTATTTGATATTCCCCCAAAATTTAACTCAACGGTGTCTATTTTGATCAATCTGGATTTATATAATACGGTATGTACAAGCCTGATAAACACATTACTAATTTGGTAAGAATGTTCAGGTATAATTAGCATTATTTTTTATAAGAATGCACAACAAGTATGAAAAATGTACTCACTAACTAAGTCGCTTTGGATAAGAGCGTCTGCTAAATGACTAAACTGTAAAATAAGCATGTATACTGAGTGTACAAAACATTAGGAACACCTTCCTAATATTGAGTTGCACCCACTTTTGCCCTCAGAAAAGCCAACATTCGTTGGGGCGTGGACTCTACAAGGTGTCGAAAGCGTTCCACAGGGATGCTGGCCCATGTTGACTCCAATGCTTTCCACCAGTTGGCTGGTAGTGGATCTCTACTCCGAGTAGCTCGTTCCATCTCGTCCCACTGATGCTCAATTGGATTGAGATCTGGTGACTGGAAAGGCCACTGCAGTAAGCAGAATTAACTGTCATGTTCGTGGAACCATTCATGGACAATCCTAGCCTTGTGGCATGGGGCATTATCCTGCTGAAAATCTATTTGCAGATGGATACACTGCTGTCATGAAGGGATGCACCTGATTTGCGATGTTGTTCAGATATCCTGTGGCATTTAAAGGTTGCTC